ACTTGTTCTTGCACCAGTTGGCGTTGACGTAAGAAGGCATAGCGTCGTCTTAATGAAAATTGTATGAAGAAAAATTCTCAAAACTAATAGGAGAATTAATCAAACTATTTCTATTGACTAGATCGAGAGGAGAGTATGTGAAAAAATTCTAATATACAGTCATGGAAATTTAATTAGGACCGGCATTGAAATTTCAGTTTTTTCCCATTAATTCTGTTATTTTACAAAAAAATATTCATGAAATGATGTTTATGAGAATATTTGAAGTTTTTATAAATGGACTAGACTATCAATTTCATTATTTTCGGTAATGGATATCATTTATTGATGAAATTGCCCAAAAACTGCGGGAAAAATAATTAAGACCTTCCATACAAAAAATGACAAAATTTTTCGAAAAATCGGAAAATTTTTCATTTGTTTGACAAAATTCACTCCACCGATGGTCGTATTTAATTGAAATACATTTTTTCCACATTACCATTTAATAGATTTCAAATTTCTTAACAAATTCGAAAAGTTACAGACCAAACTAAACTTTATAGCATTTTTGGTATGAAAAATCGTGGAAGAATCATAGTTTGGTCTTTGCCGAAGACACCAAGTTGATATCTCCTATCAGTTCCGCGGAAACCGTGGGAAACCGCGAGGACCCGCCAAAAATGAACATACTCGCCTTTTACCATTTTTGAGTTGAAAGAAACTTACTCTTCTCTTTCATAACAAAGTCAGATGAACTTACTCTCCTCTCGATCTAGTCAATAGATTTGTTCTTGTGTAAATGTTGTGTTGATTATTAAAACAGCATAGAAATGTTTCGAATCTCAAATACTACAGTAACTTTTCATTTTTATTCATATTTAACACCGCCTTGGATTTTGTACAATGTTAGTATATAATTTGTACTTATAGTTGTGGAGGATGATACGCGGAATTTATCTATATTCTTAATATTTGAGAATTTCTCACTAAAAAAATTTCATAAAGCAACTCTTCTTCTTAACAGTATCAATATGATACTGATTGAACATTTTTTTATAAGGGAACCATTTTTGGTGAATTAGTTATTGCACAAACCCACTGTGTGGCACTGTGTAGTAGAATTTCTAAGAAGAGTTATCCATTGTTTATGTTTTTCTTCTCTTCTTCACATAAAACCAGAACTGTCACAGTATTTGTCCTGAAGAATACCGATTCTACTGCGCCGCCACTTCTAACGATTACGATATGATAATTTTAACTGAGACATGGCTCAGAAATGATATTTATGACGCTGAATTTTTTGACGATTCATATTCTGTTTATCGTAGGGACAGACATTTTCAACGCGGCGGAGGTGTACCAATTGCAACCAAAAACGACAGATTTTCCACTGAAGAAATTAAAATTGCTGGTGCTGACGATCTGGAATACGTTTGTGTGAAAGCTACTACTAAATCACACGTCATTTACATATATTGTGCTTACATTCCACCAAGTTCACCACAATCAATCTACGACTCACACTTGGCGGCCATGCATCAAATAGCATCTGATCCAGAAGATGTTCTTATTTTTGTTGGTGATTTTAATCTTCCGCATGTGGAATGGTCGACTGATAGCGACGACAACAACGTCATGATTCCAACTAAATTTGCACCTGAGTACACGGCCACTTTTATCCAGGGACTCATGAGCTTGGGCGTTCAACAGGTAAATCATGTGTGTAATCAGTCAAAGAAACGTCTCTTGGATTTGTTCTTCACTAATGATTTCACCAATGTTTCGATTGAGCGCGTCGATGAATCTAACGCATTGAAGAAAAAAGTAGAAGATCACCATCCACCGATAATGGCTACGTTTGAATGGCATGGTACAAACACGACTGAAACTAACATTACAACTAAAGCATTCAACTTCAAGCGGGCCAACTACAGGGACATGAATGCATACTTAGCAAATATAAATTTCACCGAATTATTCCAAGGAAAGACAATCACTGAGAAAGTGAACTTGCTGCACAAGACTTTGGATGCTGCAATTATCAAATTTGTGCCTACTTACATCGTGCACCATACAGCGTTTCTTCGCCAGAGGTGGTTTATTTATACAAATTTAGTATCTTGATAAGTACTTTCTTCTGTGAATGAAAATTGTATGAAGAAAAATTCTCAAAACTAATTCGAAAATTGATCAAACTATTTGTTCTTGTGTAATATTGAAACCATCAATGAACTTTGTTTGCCATCCATAACGTAAAGTTTTAGTGTTGAACATTTTATTCAATTTCAATTCTCATGAGTTTTTGTCATTGTTATCGATTATTAAAAGAGCATAGAAATGTTTCGATTCTCAAATATTACAATAACTTTTCATTTTTATTCATATTTAACACCGCCAAACACTGGCTTAATTGCATTTTGTAAAATATTAGTATATAATTTATAGTTATAGTTGTCATATGGGCATAAAAATTCAGTCTAAACGTTTTGACACAAAATAACTTAACCAATACAAGAAAATGAATAGTTCGCCGAAATGTAAACGGTCCAATATCGCCTAGCTTGAACGTGTAAAAAATTAAAGACCAACTGAAGCGTTAACATTGTAGTGACGGCTTTAATGACTGCAAAAGTCATCATTCAATTTATAGAGATGTGATATATTAAAGAAAAGTTTTGTTATCAAGATGATCAAGATACGATCATCCGTTGAGATATTATAAGCGTTAAATATGCGAACCATTTGTTGAAAATTTGAAATTTCCGGACGAAAGGACGGACAAACGCGTGTTTTTGGTTTCATTGAAATTTTCGGACAAAATGTGTCCGTCCGTCCGAAAACGTGTCCGGACTGTCCGAATGTCCGGACAAAAAAGCGTGTCCGAAAGTTTCAAACAAAATTCTGTCAGTGTCCGTTTGTCCGTATGTCCGTGATAAAATTTTGGACAATCTTCTGTCCGTTGACAGCTTTATGTGCGACATGTCGGAACATTTTTCACAGGACAATATTTATGTCCGTAATAATTTTTCCGGTGGGCATTAATAACAGCAAAATCGGCTGGAAATTTTTTCGACGCACTATCTATGTCGCCTCTGTCATTCTCACTCGTTTCGTCGAATCTGCGATGTAATGACAGAATACATTTGCCAAACAGAATGTATGCTGTCACAGTAGTTGTTTGGCGCGGAAACTTTTGCTATAGGTGGCGCGTCGGAAAATTTTCCAGCGTCTCAATGCATATATTGAATACGATGCTAATTCCCACCGAATTTTTCGGTCATCGTGTTTTTACTCCATTTAACAAGGCTCACCATCAGAAAACCATGTTAAAATAGCCAATAAAATCTATTTTGAATTGAAGGTGTCACGAACACGGACAAAAAAGCGAAAAAGTCGTTTTTGTCCATCGGTTGATTGCATTTTAGTTGTATACAGCCAAACTTTCACTTGCACACAAGCGCTTGCAGAGACTTACACTGTGTATTGTGCAAGGGCTTCACTCAAAAGGTATGTTCCCACCTGAACTGGAAAACCAAATTGAAACCAAAATAGAAGTGAAATTTGAAATATGCCTACCTCAGACCAGTTGTGATTTCCATTGCACCATTGAAGTTACCAATATTCCAACATGATAGTGCAGCTCGCAGTAAACATCCGAATGCCGCTTTTTGCTCTTGTGGCGTTGGCTGCGTCATGATCAAATACGTAACCCACGAACATACCTGTAATTACCACCAAAAATTGCATCGATTATCCTAAAAGTTTACTTTTCACATATTTTTGCTATCAAAGCAAAACCGAATAAAATGTCAATGGGTGAGATTGATTATTATTATTCTGCACCATACAGCGATTCTGCAGATTGAGTAGTGTAAGGTGACCGGATATTTTCTACTCTTGTACGGATTTTATCCGTACATAAGTATTTCGTAATGTTTTGTAAAAATAAAATGTACGGAAAATTATTATTATTCTGCACCATACAGCGTTTCTTCGCCAAAGGTGGTTTATTTGTTATAAATATCATATTAATATATTTACAATATTTCTTTCGTTTTCTCCACACTCTACTTCTTTTAAAAAATTCAGTTACCCTCTGTTTAACAGTATCAGTACTAACATTGAAATCAATAAGATAAGTATCACAAATTGGAATAACATTAGTATCACATCCATCAGTTGCATATGGCGGTTTAATTGGAACAAATTTCTTATAAAAATCGTTGTATGTAATAAGCATGCCATTTATGGGCTCAAATTTGGAATAATTATGGCGTCTTATTGGTAGTGATAAGAAATCTATATCTCTTGTCCGATGCCGTGGTGTTCTGATTCTTAATTGGCTGGTTATGTATTTCGACGATGTACGTCCACATAGTACATTATGCACCATCGATATTTGAGCAATCTTTCTTCGTTCATCAAGGGTAATCATTTGTAAATGCAGCAATCGAAATTCATATGATGGTAATTTGAATCCGTTTGACCATCTCATTCTGCGCAGTGCAAATAGTAAAAATTGCTTTTGTATGGATTCAAGTCTAGCAATCTTGTCGGCAGTGTATGGGTTCCAAATCTGGGAGCCATATTCTATAATTGGCAGTACAAAGGTGAAGAAGAGTTTCTTAATAGTCCATGGATCCTCAAACTCTCTTCCAAAATGCTTTATCCAAGCCAATCTTGATTTTGCTTTGGCGGTAATGAACTCAATATGTGCATTGAAGTTCATTTTCTCATCCAGTATAATGCCGAGGTCCTTAATTACTTTGACACGGTTAATCTTCTCATTGTCTATCGTATATTCAAATTCATACTGCAACTGTCCACGGTGATATGATATGCAATTTGATTTCTTGATGTTCAATTTTAGTCGATTGTCCCGGAAATATTTTACAATTTTGTTGAGATCGTTTTGCAGTTCTTGGCAGTCTTCAAAACGACACTGCGCCTTCTTGACAGTTCTCATATAAATGAGCCCAGAAGCGCCAACTGGTGCAAGAACATGTAATAGAACCGTTGTATACCAATAGTATTAAAAGCTTAAACGTTGGGTATACTGTTATTGACTGTTTTGAATAGTAGTTCTTTCACATAAAAAACATAAAAATCTGCTTGCATTACACTGATATCTCTCTTATTCCATTGATATTTTTTCCAAATGAGAAAAAAAAATATTTCAAGCCTCAATTGCACAGCATATCACTATTAGAATCATTGTGTCAACATGAATCAACCAAT